CAGTTCTCCTTCCAGCTTAGTGGTGTCATTTTAATTTCAAGCACTAAATGCTGTGTGGGGGGATGGAATTGAATTATTACCAACCACCGGGAATATTTCAAAGCTGCTGGTAATTCCTTCACGATTCTCCACACTCAATCTTGTTAGATAAACATTGATTGTGTGGCAAGGGTTATGAGTTCGGCCTGCTGCAATACTCAGAAACCGTGACCTCTATAGGAAATTAAGTGTGGCAGAGATAACTGAATACAACAGAGACTCACAAAAAGAACCTCACTGGGGATCTACGCCTATAAAGCAACTCTTGTTTTGGGAAGAAAGCCTCGATTGACCAAATATGAGTGACGCAAATCATCAGGCTCCTGTTACACACACTCTGGCACGTAATGATACAAAACGATTAGTCTACTTTAAAAAAAAAGCACTTCAAACTCGTTAATAACACACCTCAGCAGCACTTCATTATGACAGTATTCATAGCACAGCATCATTCAATTACAACTGCATGCCTGAACAGGAGTTCTGGAACTTTAGAGCACATTCTGGAGGACAATTACAACACAGAATTACTCCTCTGTCTTGTCTGGAGAGCTAAGACAGCGCTGTAGTAACCAAGGACTTTAATGCCTTCCTCAAAACAAAGGAGATCAGAGATATTCAGCAGGGGGCACTCAACTCTTGAGACCGTAGCACAGAACAGCAAGCATCTGGGCCCAGACTCGCCAACAGAGGAACTATTTCATAATCTGTTTTACCACAGGCCTCTCATGGCAGTCTTTCGAAATGCAACACAAAGGCACAGACTTCAACACCAGTTGTATCTCTCTGTCGGGCTACAGCTTGCTCTTTTCTGCTATTACCTACTCACTTGTTTGAAAAGCACTTCCTACATATTGACTGTGTCTGTAAATGAGATTCCCTGCCTCAGTGGAGAATCTCAAGGCATTTTAACATCACTCTTTCTCTGTGCTTCTTCTCTGTATTCTCCGATCTTTGATGATTTAAAGCAGACCTGAGGTAGCAGAAGCATTAGACACAAAGCAACAGCAGTAAAGGGAATGCACATGTATCCCAGTGATGGTATGTATGGAGCAGCTGGTCAGTTCTTTTCTCTAGTCCAGCCTTGTGAAGTCACTAACAGCCTGGGATTCACGTTTTTCAACAACACGGAGAAAAACTCGAGCTGTTTTCAAACCAGTAGTGCACATAAAAGACATTCCTACAAGGGACTGAAGTCCTGGAACTCGCAAAGCAGTAAGGCCGTCTGCCGCCACACTCTTAAACCCTGCTAACTGGATCTCTCCGCGTGCTTCCTTTAAAGTGAAAGGCGATCCCTCGTGCCTCAAACAAAACAGCTGGTGTCACCTCTGAAAGGCGCACAACTGCAAGGCAAGGGAATCTGGAAAAGGCCAGTCACACCACGAGCTGACCTTGGGCCGCTTTACCCCCCCTCCTCGCCGATGGAGGGGGGGACCAGCCACCTCCCTCTTCCTGCCATGAGCCCGGCCCGCAGCAGTTGCTGTGGGGAGGGGAGTGCTTGGGCCCAGGAGGGAGAGCGGAGGTGTCAATTACACTTTGCCGTGGCAACGGCCACACAGAGACGGCACAAGTTTCACGGAACGGGGAAGACATGTGGGCACAGCTGCCAGGGCAGTCCTGGGCAGGTGGCAAACAAAGCGCGGCCACGCAGAAATCCTGCCCAGAAAGCCCTCCTGTCAGTGCCTGTTATTTAGAGAGCGTGTTCTGATCTGATCGCACTTCGTCAAGGTGACACTGAACACCGGTGGACAGCTGCTTTTGTTCCAGTGGCATCTCTCTGCTACCAGAATAGCAGCATGACTCGCTGTGCTTGTGCAAGAACTCCAGGAGCCTTCACTGCAGCCTTGCTAAATAGCAGACACATTGGGGTGGGGACTGTGGTTTTGCAGCAACGCCCGGAGCACAGCAAAAAACAACTCTCCTTTTACTTCAGATCACGAGGTTATACTGTTGTTTTTGATTTAAAAAAGCCAGTCTTTTCATTTTTCTAATAAAAGGGAAATGAATCCTGTGGCACTCCGACTTATAATATTAACATACTTTTTTGATGTCGTGACTGTAACACTACATCACTTTTCCATCCCTTACTGCCACTGCATGGAAGGAGAGCACTGGATAACATCCGCTGCTGGAAGCACAAAAAGAGCTGTGCTTCTCTGCACAAGAAGCACAGCGTGGTATAAACTGAGAGGAGGAAGCAAGCACCCCCCCTGTCCATTTTACAAAAGCATGCAAACTGAGCACAGATGAACTGTCTAGACTGCCACTCCACACAAGGACGCAGAGAACAGGCCAGAGGAATTGTGCTTCAGTAGCAACAAACCAAGCACATCCACAGAACTCTACAGCTTTGAAATGGGTGATTGTGTGCAAAATCCCACGGATAGCCAAGAAAGCGCCTTCCTTGACACTTTTTCCAGGATCTCGTGCCCGAACTCTCAGCCGAACTCTCGAGCAACGTTTCCGCCCTTTGTGCGAATGTGAAGCGTAACGACCAGGCCTAGAATTCAGACAGTCTGAAAACAGAGGCAGCCTGTGATACGCAGGTTCCCACCCCAATGACCTCACATCCTGTCCCTCTCTCTGGAGGAAAAGGGGGCTCTGTGCACAGGGCTGAAGGGTCTGAAGGGGCACACTGTTGAAATGGCAAGTCTGGCTAAAAGGGTGACGTCCATACCAGAGCCCTGTGAGCTTATCGGACCAGAGCTCGTCCCAGATTCTGGTCTCTGCAGCATTACATGGACTAGAGAAACCGTGATGCTCATCCCACCCCTGGATGGGACGCCAAGTCTGTCTAAGCCTTGCAAAAAAAAGCTCCTTTTAATGTTGTGGGGAAGCATTAAGTGGTGAATCCCTCCTCTTAAAACTCATTTCAAGCAATGCCTAAAGGACAAGAGAAAATCTTAGAAGATGTCCTGGCAAACTTAAGCTATCCAAGGGCCCAACATAACGCAAAAGAATGACTATCTCAGGCTCTGGGCAGGGAGAAGAGAGAGAGCAGCTGGCCCATCGCTGACAGAAAGGCCATTCTCAACGCATGAGGTCATTACAAACTGCTCCCGATCCACCGAAATGATCGTGGCAAATGTTCACGGAATGGGCAAAAAGATGGAACGAGAACGGAGATGCCTGAAACTGTAACCTGAACAAGCACAAGGTGGTGATAGGTGCTGTGTGTTAGAGGCAAAATCCTGTCATCTGTGCACAGATACAGAGAAGTCCAAGTGCGTCACTGAAACCCAAGCCGGCCACAAAGAATCTACGACGTTTTAAGAAACATGTCAGAAATGCCACCTCACTTCTCGAAAAACTTGTTCAGCTAGTGAAAAACTTTCTGCTTCTATTTTTTTCTCTCACGAGTCAGATGTGCCACACAAGACAACGGTATTTAGAAAGGTACGCGCAATGATCCCAGAGGAGGTACGGCTCTGTATTTACGCAAGAATGTTGCCTTCCAGAATTTACTGAACCTGGACAAGCAACTAAAAAAAAAACATCTTACAGTAAGCAGGACTGAGAACAGCTGAAGAAACTGTCAGTTCGGTGTGGATGTCAGCTCTCTTGCTAAAATTATAGCTTGACAGTGTCACGGTTCAATTTTTAATCGCATATCTTCCCTTCGATCTTAGAACGTATAATGAGACTTGCAGCATTAATTTATCCGCCTTAACAACCACGGACGTTTTTTTTTATACAGGGAGGAAGAGTACAATACAATCCCATCGGATCTAAAAATCCGTCCTCAACTCCCGTCGTCTGCAGTTTCTCCGAAAAACGTGGGCAAAGTGGCGCTCTCTAGCGTCACATATTTCACCAAATTACATAAACCTTATCCCCCCTCGAACTCCAACTTCGACCCGACGGGTTTAACGAAAATCCGCAACGTCTGTGAATACCAGGATTATTAGACAACCCCCCTCTTCCCCACACACACACCACAGCAGGGACCTTCGCGTAAACTCAGAAATGATCGCAGCCTGCCAATTCATTTTTTTTTTAAAAAAGTCGTTGCTATTTCCGATGCGCAACAGGCCTATTTCGAGAGTGGAGGTATTCAAACCGCGGAAAACCAAAACCAATCGGTTTCAAATCGAGAGGAAAAGTTAAGGCTGAGAGGCTGCCCCAAACCCGGGATGGTCTCAAACTTTTGTCGTAGAGCCAATCGGAACAGCGTGGTTTAGACTCAATAAGTCATTCTGAAGGCATTTCCGCTTCCATTTACTGTATCTTTTTTCCGTGTTTATCTTCGTTAACAACGTAAACACCAGTGGTAAATATTGACGTTATTGTATGATGTTTACAGAAACATGGGTGTTTTCTTTTTAATAAGTTATAACTCCAGCTCGGGACAACCCAACCCGGGTTCACTACAGGAGTTACTTTTAAAACGAAGAGCAAAAGGGATCCAACTCCCCCCCCACCACCACCATCTCCAGAAAACAAAAAAGCCAGAGATCTGATCTCTCCCTACGGAGAAAACTGGACCGAAACCGAGCACAAGCATGGCGGAGAGCCCCAAGACCACAACAGCAGCGCGGTCTGTAGCGTGCGAGCCGGGGGGCTTGCGACAGAGCACTTCTCCAAAACTTTTTTTTGTTGTTGTTTGTCTTGTGCGCCCTCTCTCCGCTCCCCCTTCCCCTCACTCGAGCTGAGCCGTGAGGGCAGGAGAGACCGGAGCGGGCTGAGCAGCCCGGGTCCGGGCTGGGACACCCCCCGGGGCGGACCGGACCGGACTTGGCGAAGTTGGGGGACGGGGGTGAGTTGCCTGGGCGCCGCACCCCCCACATCCCCGGTGCGGCCAGTCCTGCCCTGCCCAGCGCGGCGTGCCACATCCCCCGGCCGCCTCGTCCCTCTCACCCCGCCTCCCCCTACAGCCACCTTCATTTTATCACGGGTTTCCCCACCACCACCACCGCCGCCGCCGCCGCCGTTGTTGTTGTAGTTGTTATCGTTGTTTTTACCTTCGTCGAGGAGCCTCTCTAGGTGCGTGAAGATGCCGCAGAGATTGGGCAAACTCGCCATCAGCTTCTTCTCGTTGAGTAGCTGCATCAGATAGTCAGGACTCGGCCTCGGTCTCTCCTTCACTTCGATCTCCCCCACCATCATCTTTGAACCGAGATGATACACAACACAAGCCCAACACACAATCCTTTCTCTCTCTTTTTTTTCTTTTTGGGGTTTTTTCTTTCCTTTTTAAAGTCCCCCCCCTCCCCCGGAAAAAAAAAATAAAAAACAAAAACTTGCTGGTCAGGTCCCTCGCTTCCCCCCCCCCACGGTTCTACTCGATTGTGGCAACAGGCCCTTCCCGGTAAAAAAAAAAATCGTTATTATTTCTGTCGGCTGGGAGAAGAAATAAAAAAAAAACACCACAGCCTCCTCCCGGTTCAGTCGCTTTCCTTTCGTTCGCCGTTACTCTTCTCCACAGCGCGCACGGGGTCGGTCCGAGCCTACAGTGCTGCTTAGTGCGAGAGTGTACTAGGCGAAATGCTCGGCCCCCTCGCCGCGGATTGGACAGAAGTGCAATGACGGGCAGAACGGTTCGCCAATAGGGAGAAGGGGGCAGGGCAAAGTGGGTGGGAAAAGAGCGGGTGGGCGGGGCAGGTCTCCTGACAGACACCGAGCCCGTCCAATGGAACGCCGCCTTCGTTTTAGGAGTAGAAGTTATTGATGTTATTGATTATCTCAGAACTGCATAGAAAGACGGCGTCGGGAACTGTCAGTGTTTTGGGGAATCCAAATGAGCCAATCAGGCTGGAAACGTGCATTGTCAATTCCGAGGCATGTGTCTTGTTTTGTTAGAGAGGGTATGCCATTGGGCACAGAGCTAATTTCACAGCCTAGTATATCAAACAGGCATGGGATTATAAATCGAAAATAACACGTGAAAGAAACATTGTGTTCACTCCGAGATCAAAAGACACGCTATTGTATAATTTATCTAGTTGAGTTCATCAATAAACCTTTTCCGTACAGTACACCACGGATCCTCACATAATCTTGTGTTCTGCCGGTACAGATACAAAAACTCCGAACCTCCGAGCCAGTTAATCTCTTTTAGCCCTTAAATAATTTAGGATAAGTTACAAAAGAATAACAATGCTAATTATTTTTAACACACACGTTTAAAATGGAACAGACTATTCTGATACATATCGAGCTGCCAACACAGTTTCTACAAAAAAAATTGTAAATACAGCGCAGTTATTTTAGAGACACCAGCATCGCAGCCTCTGATGGTGAGTGCCACTTTCAATAATACCAAGAAAAGAAAATGCATGGAGTCTGAAATAAGATATTACTTATGCCTTCCGAGACCCGCATTAACCCGTCCTGCTCGAACACCCGGGGATACCTCTCTTGTGATCTGTATTAGGAATCACATTGCATTATACAGTACACATCGCTGCCAGCATGACTTTTAGACTACTGCTCTCCGTTTAATAGCATTCCTGCGCCTTCATCTAGCTTTTCACGTTACGATCTCTGCCACACACAAAGAAAAGTGATTGATGTTTCCCGGATACTAGTCTACTACAGCTAGGACAGCGTGTCTGCATTTGATAAAGGGGATTGACTTTCATAATTATTAATATTAAGTACCAGTAATACAAAGCGCAGAAATGTAGCCGCAGGGTAAATAAACGAATGATGAAGATATATGGCCCCTGTGGCAGGCAGACATCAGCGTAATATGGAAACGGTGTTTGTTTCACCCGCTGAAGAAACAGGACCTCACGTCTCACCTGAGTGTTAAAAAGCAGAAGCAGTCTGGGATCCCGGGACGTTTTCAGTTTGCAGTCACAGATTCAGAAGGATTTGTATAGCAGTACTGAATAAGGAAAAGGCCTCTGTTATAGCATATTGTAATCATTACTTATTGACGTCTTATACATACATTCTGTAAAGTGATGTGTGATAAAGACCACAAGGTGCACATGGTACATTAACTAGGGCATTTATCATTTAGTGACGAGGACACGTGAAAGGTCACAAACAAGAATACTCCATTCGGACCATCTTACTTGTTTGGTTGGCAGTAAAGTTGGATGATCAAAGGATCTCTTCCAGCCATTTCTCAGTTGTAGCAAACAATTGTGAAAAAAGTAGTATTTGAAGTTGTAAAGTTGCACTTCCTCTCTCTTTCCCACTGGTGTCCACAGGCTTCATTGTTGATCCAGAAATAGACCAGTGGATTTACTTTGTCACTTCCTTTCTGAATTCACCAGCCTAGTATCAGGTCAGCTGGTGACCTCTTCCATTGCAGACAGTGAAACACCTCTTTATTTATCTGTTACAGTAGGTAATGTCACAACGCAAGCAGGCAAATAAAACAAAGAAAAGCAGTGTCAAACACTAATAAACAATAAGCTACAATTAATTATAGCTACAGTATTTGACAATGTGCTACACCAGCAGAGTTGCTAACACCCTTGTGACATTCAACTGCTAACACTGTGGAAATTTATAATTACTCATGTACATTTATTGACCTTCTAAGTGGCCTCAACACTGTTCTTTTCTATGCTGTTCCAAAACAAAAGGAAATTAAAATGACAGTGTTTAAAGCAAGCTTCATCTACCTTAACAGAGACATTAGCCACATTTGCGGTTTTATACAGTATGTAAAGAATGAAATGTGCAAGGAATGTGCAAGGAATTTCTTGCTAGATTTTTCGAGATACTGGGTGGCCATTGCACATTAACTCAAAGATGAAACAATCACAACATAATTCCTATCTACCCCGCATCGGAAACTTCAATACCTTGTTCTGTGAATTTCACCTTTATGGATCCAAGGAAGTTAGTTCCCCACAAAAAAATACCCAGACACTTAATTTGTAGCACAGAAGTGTTCCCAGGATATGTAGAATTCTAATGAATGTTTACTTAGTTTCTACAGAGTGTCTTTGTTTTACTATAGGTCAAGGGTATCCAGGGGATCATGAAGGGCTCAGGAGCCTTTAGGTTTTCTAGGTCTTTCTTAAGGCACCAGCACATGAAAACCTATGAGAAGCTTTAAAATTGATCCAATTGAACCAATTAGGCTTTGTCAATAATTGAAATTATGAAGCACTATACTGGAATAGAAAAAGGCTATGGCCCTTTGGGTAGATAAGCTTGCTGTAAGTTGTTATCAAACTCTTGTTTTTTTTATTTTTGGTTGTTTTTCACACTTGATTTGATGAATGGTGGCTCCTTATCAAAGGAACCAACAGGTCTTCTATCTGCAATGTAATATCTGGTATGCCCGAAGTATAAAAAGGCTTTAGAAGGTGGTCATTTGATTTTAGACACTATTTCAATACCCCTTCCTCCGATGCCTTCCCCCACTAATGCCCTTTTTGAAAGAAAGTCAAGACTCTCAGCACTTCCATAGCACTGAGCAGGGACCTGCCACTCTGCTTAGATAAATGTTTTATAGAATTCCTTAGATACCAAATAGCCACACAGGTCTGAAGTTATCATGGGACTGAAAAGTGACTTTTAGTTACTACGGAGAATGGTTAATGTGTTCAATACCACGTGTATGCCAGTTCTGTACTTTAATTAACTCTGCATTGCAAGCTATAACTACCCAATGTGTCAAAAAAGAACAATTAGTGAACATCACTCTATGTTGTTCAGGAGTCTCCTCTGCTGGCAAAGGTTATCAAGTACCTTTTAAATATTTATAATCCTTCCGAGCACAGGCAGATCTTGAAATGTGTCAACAGTCTCCCCACAAATCTGTAACCGTGTAGTTAGTAAACAGAGCTCTCCAAAGAAATCCGGAGTAAAAGGCAAATTGAGTGACGCTCCGAAGAGAAACCGGACCTCTGCAGGTGGAGTAAAGAGATGTCAGACGTAATCTGGATTTTGCCCACAGCAATGTCTAACCAGCTACCCTTGGCTGGGATAATATTTCACAATATTTTCTGGAGAAAAGCAGAAAAAACACTCACACTTACAGCCTGTGTTGCAAAGGCAGCTAAATTACTCACACGAGTGACATTTCATATTTTTCCATGAATACCAACAATGAAAATGTGAAGACTTCAGCATCAGGAAACATGGACTTGTTTCAAAGCCTTTTGAAGCAGGTTAGTTCTGGTCTTACTCCAGATGGAAATTTGTACCCAGCCAGTATGTTATGGTTCACATTTTCCTATTTTCTTTTAATGGCAGAGATCCTAGCAATTAATCCCATTAAAAAGGATTGCTGACAATAATACGCATTTTAGTCTCTTTTAAGAGCACAGATCTAACAAACAATGAATTTCATAACAGTTCGGAAGCAAATTATACATAGATTATACACTATCCTCTATCATGGAGGATGACATTCAAAATGCAATTTCTTCCACAAAGAGCACTGGATATTTATTTAAGAGACTCAGCTACCCACCTATATGTTAAAATAATACTACATCAAGGGAAATGGACAGTGCACAGGAGGGGAGCGCAATCTCCACTGCAGTGTTTTGATACAACCAGCACCTTAATTGTTATATTGGTCCTGCTAATTAACAATTAAAAACATAATTGGCTGTGGCAACATTGTACATTGTAGTGGATTAGAAGAGTATCCCCCTGGATGGCGTGGAGGAAAATCTTGTCTGGACAGTAATTTGATCATGTGTGTGTATTGAGGTCAACCACATTAAAAACTGTGTCCCAGGATTATTTTAATAAACATGTTATCCTTAATGTTAGTGTTAATGGATACTGGTTATTGTATATACAGTATAACCCCAAAATTAAAGTTATTCATATAACAACCAAATGATCAGTCTTTAGAAGAATCATGGCTCTTCACATAGTCAAGATTTTTATTCAGGTGGTGATAAAAGCCTCTTAGTTGTTGTGTGAAGCAGAATTGCTAGTTTGTTGAACTTAATAGTCTCTGGGGAATCTTTGACCCGTCTTTCAAGAGCCCACAGAGGTGAGAATCAACCAGGGCAGGTCAGAACCTGGAGGGCAGATACTATAGGATGTGATACAGGGTTACAGTACAGGTGGGGGATGTAAGAGCCACATGGAAAAAGTTACAACCTTCAACATACAGTAGATTCATTTTCAAGCACATTTCCTTTGCCCTCCTTTGCTGGTTTGCTAAAATGAAAGCAGGGTGTTTCACTCTCATTGTTTCTCACAAATTCTGAGGGATATAACTATTTTGAAGTGTCAGCTGCAGACATGGTTTTAGAAGCCTAGGAACCTAAAGTGCTATTATTATTATTATTACTAATATGGTCTATAGAGTGAACGCACCAGTAACACTTTTTTCTTTTTACCATAATAGAAGAGGTCAGATTGCTGCTGTATGCCCCTTCTGACAGTGTACTTACAGCATAGGGCTCTGTTAGGGCCCTAGAAGAATAGAACATAGAACATCCTTCTTTTTTGACTCTACCCCCGTCTGCCTAGGTTCAAGCCTGCTCCTGTGCTCTAAGTAGAGCAACTGTGCGTGCCTCAGCCTAGAATCCACTGCGTGGAGAATCCAGGCAGACA